TCCCTCAGCTCTTCAGCTCAAGGCTAGCACTCTACCACTTGAGCCACAGCACCACTTCTGGCTTTTTCTGCTTATGTGGTGCTGAGGAATTGAACTCAGGGCCTCATGCATGCAAGGCATGCACTCTACCACTAAGCCACCTTCCCAGCCCTATCTATCTACCTTTGTCTACCTACCTACCTATTTGTTATCTGCCAATCATATATGTCTGATAGCCCAAGTGGAGCCACAGCAGAAAAGACATTCAAAAGACACCCAAAGACATTCATCCACATTCAACACTGAGCTGCTGAGTTGGGTAATGAAAGACAAGTAGAAGCAGGGACAAAACTGATGGATATGACCCAGCTTTCTCTTCATCTTCTCTCTTTTGCCTTCTCCCTTTCCTTTCACTGGCTCCTGGAGTCTGTGCCACTTTTATCCCAACAGAAACAAGAGCCTCCTCTGAGGGCGCATGGAGCAAAGTACTCGGCTGAGACTGGTCGACTCATTCCCGCTTCCGCTCACAATCTCCAGCGCCGCAGTTTCCACCAGGGCCAGCGGAGCCATCTTTTGAACAATGATGTACTCCAGGCCTCTGTTCTGCGTGACCAGGAACTACTGGTAAGACCCAGTCTGGGGTCAGAGGCTGTAATAATCACTATCCCCTTGGCTCCTAGCTCTCCCAGCTAGCATCCTTCCAGGTGCACTGCGACCTGAGACTGTAAGATAGGAAGATCCTGGCCTGAGAGTCAGCAGCCTAGGCGCCAGTCCCCTCTGCCTCTAAAACACCCTTTGTCCATTGGTCCCTTTCTATGTAAGTCCTTCCTCAATGGCTTTAATTCCATGATCTGTCCAAACTGAGTGTAAGCACATTACCATGGAGGCCCATCCCAGCTAAAGCATCTGATGTTAATCAGGGAACATGATGGAGGATTGAGATGCTCAGAAATGAAGATTTTGCCTGGTGAGCTCTCAGACTGCGCCCTACAGCCTCCCAGGCCAGTCCCAGCCTGTTTTCCTACCTTTGCCAATGTTTCATCAGAGTCCGAACCCCACCTCCTCCACTCTTGAGTGTCCCCATCAAGAGCTCATTCCGGTGGAGTAGGGATTGGCAGTTTCTGAGCCGGCATCCCACTACCTGCCTGAAAGGTCCAGTGAGGTGGATAAAGCAACAGGGCCCAGGAGCTCCATCCCATTGATGAGGAGATTGAAAACCTGCCCTATGGAACTGTGTGTGATGCAGGTCACACCCAGGTGACAAGGAGCAGCATAGCTGGGACTAGAGCCAATACTTTCTCCACTGTAGGGTGGTCTCACTACGCCTGGAATTAGGTTCTCAGGTCCTATGGGGAGGGGGCCCAGGGCAGGTAAGTAGGACGCTGAGAATAGACAAGGTCACAGGGGCACACCAGGCTGGGTGGGTGTTGAGGGTGAGGGTTGGCACCCAAACAGGTGCTGGGGAGAGGCCCAACCCAGTTCCAACTCTACCAAGGATAAGTTCCTAAGGTAGAGTTCTCACTCTACCCAGGCCTGCTGGGGTCTAACGGGCTCCTCCAGGCCCCAAGAAGAATGACTGCTCAATGCTGAAGGAACCGCATTTTTGTAGGACTCCAGGGGTTCTACCTTCCAACGTGGGCTTCAATTCCAGTCCTTCCAGCCTACTATAGGCACAGCCAACAGCAGCAACCTGGCCTCGGAAGCTTCTACAGGCCATTCAAGATAAAACAGGATCATTTCCAGATGCTGCCCAATTGGAGGCTGCAGGGGAAATGGAACCCGGAAGTAGGAAAGAAGCTAAAGGCTGAGGAGACAGCCAGAAATTGAGAATACCCACTGCTCTGCAGGATGGAGCCCTATACTGGGCAGCTTATAAAACTAGCCCACCCCAGCCCTCAGGCTACCCTCTGGGAGTCCCCTATCTCTTTACCAGTATCTCTAGACTTTTGGAGTTCCGGGTGGGGAAGCCTGAGGATGACCCCAAATACATAACCCAAATACTTAGGCATGGGAGACAATGAGTCTCTGAGGAGGTAACTGGCTTGCTCTGACTTTGCCCTTCCAGTGAGAGGCTTTGGGGATACAACCAGCCCAAGTAGGCTCCAAGAGTGAGGAGCCCATGTGCCTCATATCTGAGCCTTAATCCTGCTTGGGGGGGGGGGTCTTCCTCATTCAAGGGTTCAGATTCATTACCTGTCTAAAAGGGAGTCTAGACTTCCAGTAGCACTGTTGTGGGAAAAAGCCCTCCATACAATGCAAGGCCCCATACAGGACCAGTTGAGCCAAGCATGTGGCTCAGGGAGCTCACTTTCAGGGATGAGCCCTTAGTGTCCATCAACCTTGGTGTCTTCAGTCCTGGCAGGAGTATGTCATGATCACATTGACTCCCTATGTCCTCCTGCCCACAGATCCTGGAGCTTCTGTGTCAGATTCTGCAGACAGACTCTCTAAGTGCCATTCAGTTCTGGCTGCTTTACGCTCCCTCGAAGGGTAAGGACACTGCATGGCTCCTTCCCCAAGTGGAGGCTGCCAAGATCCAGCTCTTGTTTTCTAGTTCTCAAGGACTCAGATGTTTCTTGGCTTTTACACCAGGACCTTCCTCCTTCTCCATTTTGGATGTCTTTTGTCCCACTGGACAACTTCACTGTTCTCTCCTACCTCAATCCTACTGAAGAATTTCTATGGCCCTCCTTGGAAGGAACCCCTCCTTGATGTGGGCACCAGGACTAGGCATTGGGAAAGGAGAAAGAGAATGACTGTACCTAGAAGACACAGTCCCTCTTCTGCTGCTACTGTGGGAATTATGCACAAATACACACACACACACACACACACACACACACACCCGCACACAAGTACAAATGGGAGGCCCTAGGTGTGTGCATAAGAATACACCAATACATTCAAGCCCCACGACTGACAAAAAAAATACACCAATACACACAGACACACAATAGACAGTGGATGGAGAGTGTAGCAATGAGGGAATGAGTAGTGATGAGGGCCGGAAGCTGGAGGGAGGCTGGAAGAGAGGATTCTTTTGTTGAGAGAATGGACAGGAGGAGGAAGGGGAAGGGAAGAGAAAGAAGGGAGAAGGGGAGGGAGGAGAAAAGGATAAGGAGGAATGAAAAAGAAAGCTTTTCCAAAGGCAGCCAGGGGCTGCAGTGGGCAGGATGAGGTCAGAATAAGGTGCACATGTTCTTGTGTGGTGGGAAGGGTGTGGAAGGGCTGTGTGCTCTCTTCAGAGACCAGGAACACTCTGGGATTCTCCTGAGTGGACTGTGGGCAGAATGTGGGATAAATAGAGTTGTCCTTGAGCTGGTTTGGGGAGATGTGAAGGCCCTGTTTAGACTCGTCTCATCTAGGGTTAGGAAGTGGGTAGAGTCTGAGGATTCTGTGCTGTGCTTCCAGAAAAAGACATTGCTCTGGGGCTCCTACAAACTGCAGTAGCTCAACAGTTCCCTCAACCCCTAACGTCCATTCCAGAAGAAAGGCTCCTAAATCAGCTCCAAGAAGTTCAAGAGCCTCAGGAAAACCTGCAGGCATCCTACAGGTGAGCTCTGTACCTCTCACCTGCCTTTCTGTTCCCAGGACCATTCTCCCAGGGTCAAACATCTGTCCTCAGGTGAAAGCCCTCAGGACCTAGAGAAGGAGGTGCTAGTCTGAGCTGGGCTGGGCTGGGCTGACCAAGGCTGTCCTGAATGGAGCAAGTGGCCCAGGACTGTCTCCTGACCTCTCCAGAGACCCACCACCCCAGGTCTAGGTGTGCTGCCTGAAGGCCCATACTGCCAGACTAGACCCCTGCCTGCTGGTGAGTAGGGTCTTAGTAGGGTCGCAAGTCAGGGCTGAATGTGTTCATCTAGCTTGCCACAAGTTCTTGGTGTATGGACACAGGTAGGAGGGAGCATCTAGCACAAGCTAGGCAAACTAGAGGACTTTATGCGTGCCACAGATGGCTAAAGTAGAAGCAGACTGATTCTGTGAAAGGCCTTTGAGGCAGGTAAAATTCCAAGAGAGCAGTGCTAACTGATAGCTTACTACTACACTTGCCTGACCCTGCTGGGCAGCTTACATATTTGTAGATTAATAGCCCCACTGAGGCAGTACTAACTCCATCTTTTTTGTTGATGTTGGTCATGGGGCTTGAACTCTAGGTTCCCTGCACTCTTCAGCTCAAGGTGAGCGCACTACCGCTTGAGCCACAGCACCACTTTTCTAGTGGTTTTTATTGGAGATAAGAGTCTCACGGACTTTCCTGCCCAAGCTGGCTTTGAACCTCGATCCTCAGATCTCAGCCTCCTGAGTAGCTAGGATTACAGGCATGAGCCACCGGTGCCCGGCCTAACTCCATCTTATAGATGAGAAACCTGAGGCTCACTCAGTGAACTGACTGGTTAATTGCTCAGCAGATACAATGTAATCTGAGAATGCACAAGGCCTTCGGCTCAAAACGAATACACCAATATGCAGGTAAAATTGGGGATCTGTATTCCTAACAAATCACCCAATATTTCTGTCAGAGTTTGGGAAACTGATAAAGTAGGTGGAGGACGGGGGAGGGACTCTTTTTTGTTGGTGGTAGTATATTTTTATTTGTGCTAGTTCTAGAGCTTGAATTCAGGACTTGGTCACTGTCCCTTAACTTATGCTCTCAAGGCTAGTGCTCTACCACTTGAGCCACAGTTCCACTTCTTACTTTTTGGTGATTAATTGCAGATAAAAGTCTTAGGGATTTTCCTGCCCAGGCTGGCTTTGAACCATGGTCCTTAGATTTCAACTTCCCGAGTAGGTAGGATTACAGGCACAAGCCACAACTCCTGGCAACTAATAAGGTTTTTATAAGCAAATGAGAAGATGAAAAAAGGCCAGGAAGTGGGAATTCTCCAGGTAATAACAAGAAGGATATCAGGAATGAACATCCTATAAGCAATGCAAAGTCTGATGTGACTAGAGAGGTATGGGTTTGGGGGGCACACACAGGAGTAGGGAAAGTGTCTTAAGGTTTTTGTGATGTTTTTGTGCTTTTGTCAGTTACTGGGGCTTGAGCTCTTAGGGCTCAGTTTGCTTGCCTTTCTTTTTTCTTATGACTGTTGCTTACCACTTGAGGCACATCCCATTTGTGGCATTTTTGCTGGTTAATTTGAGCCCCTCAGATTTGTCTGCCTGGCTATCTTTGAACAGCAATCGTCAGATCTCAGCTTCTCAAGTAGCTAGGATTACAGGTGTGAGCTACCAACACCACCCAGTGTGACTTAGGCTTTGGAAGATGTAGTCTTGACTGTTTCTTCTTCCTAGAGAGGCCAGCCATGAGAGAGGTCCTAGTGATCAAGGCAGTTATCATCGTCACCTTGGATAAGCCCCTGTGTACCAGCCTCCATTTCACCCTCTCTCCAAAACCCCCTCTCAGAGTTGTAGGATGGACTAGGCCATGTAAAATTTCATACAAGCTAGAATATAATTCACACTTACCTGTGACCCTGTCACAGAAGCTGGGGCCCTGTCTTCTCCATGCAGATGAAAGGCTCTCCCCTGCCTGACAGGGGAGCACAAGGGACAAACAAGGAGCTATGGGGGAAAGCTGTATCAGTCACGGTCCCTCACAAGGACAGGAGGGCTTTGGTTCCCAGTAGCCTGAGGTGACCCCTCACCTTTCCCTGGAGAGGGCAACTGACCATACTTGTACCACCCTGCCACCCCCTAGTTATGAGCAAGCCTGATGTCATAAGCCTCTCTTTTGTATCTGATTATAGTCTTTCCCAAAAGAAGACCAAGATACCACCTGCCCCGAAAAGTGAAAAACCAGGTAAGCTCCTGTGCCTGGACCATTCTGAGGCTCACTGGGGCCTAGTCCAGCTGGGTCCCTCAGGGGATTCAAGGCAACTTAGGGCTAGGTTCCCAACTGAGGAAGCTGGTCCATTCACCCATTCACTCATTCATTCATTCATTCAACAAATGCTTACTGAGTACCTGTTGTCTGCTGAGCTTTGGGAAGGGTTAAGACAAGTGTCTGTATCAAGCAACAAATAGGAAGCGACAGAGGATCACCCAGAAAATCCCTGAGGGGCTGTAGGGAAAGTGAGCCAGGTGGACATGGTGGGAGGGAAGGGCACTCAGCAGAATAACAAGGGAGGTCCTAGCCCTGGGTGTGTCCAAGAAGAGCACACAAGCAGAGCTCCCAACAGGCAAGAGTGGCCAGGACCCTGTGGGTTGGGATGGTAATAAGAGGTGATGTAATACAGGTGAACAGGGGCCAGCCAGCCTGTGGGGAAAGGGAAGTGGGTGCTATACAAAGAGGCCTGGGGTGCACTGGAGGTGCACTGTGTGGCGTGTGGGATGGGCAGGGGACAAAAGGGACAAGGAAGCTGAGGGAGGAGGCCCCCGCAGTCACCCTGGTGCCTTAGCCCAGTTTGGTTAATGGGGGGAGGGAAATAAGGTATAGAGGAGAGAAGGCACATTGGCAGTAGACAGAGTCCTAGTTGCCTGAGAAACGTCTGGCCTGGAATAGACATTTCATTGTTCATGACCTGGATGAAAATGAAGAAGGGCACTGAGTTGCAGAGAAGGAAATCAGCTTGTTCCCAGGACCCCAGAACAGCAGAGGGCTGAAGGTGGCCGGGATTTTCCACCTGTTCTCTCCGTCTACCAGGAGAAGAAGCAGCTCCTCCTCTCCAGCCCATGGTCTTTTTCTCCTCCCAGAGTACATTGGAAAAGCCCAAGTCCTCAAGATACATCATGAGGACAAAAAGGAGAGGGCAGCTAAGCCAAAGGCTGAGAAGAACAAGGAAGTGTAGTCCATCTGATTCAGAAGCTATCCCTGAACTATGTGTGCTCCCACCCCACCACCTCCACAACAAAGAATGCCAAATAAAATCCTGTCTTCCCCTGCAGAAGACAGTTCATGCTCTAGCAGCAGTGGCTTTGCTCGTGTTGTTTATTCTGGAAGGAGGCAGGGGCTGAAGTCATGAAGCAAGTCCTGGTGTATCACTTACAATAAGCCCAGGCCTGGCTCCAGAATCTGCTTAGAGCCATTGCATTCTACTGATTAAAAATGACAACCCTTACTTGACAGTAGTGGCTCACACCTGTAATCCTAGCTATTCATGAAGCTAAGATCCAAGGATCATTGTTTGAAGCCAGTCAAGGCAGAAGAGTCTATAAGACTCTTATCTCCAATAAGCTGTCAAAAAATAAAAGTAGGGTTGGGAAGGTGGCTCTGTGAGAGTGCTTGCCTTACATGCATGAGGCCCTGGGGTTGGGTCCTCAGCACCCTATAAGCAGAAAAAGCTGGAAGTGGCACTGTGGCTCAAGTGGTAGAGCATTCACCTTGACCAAAAGAAGCTCATGGATAGCACCCAGGCCCAGAGTTCAAGTCCCAGGACTGAAAGGAGAAAAAAAACCCACAAAACCCAGCAACCCTCACCCAAAGTTGTAGGTGTGTTTCTGAAAATGGCAAAATAGTTATGGGCAAGAAGGAAGAGGGCATCACATGAATATGACCCCAAGGAGCAGCTGGGATGTGTCTGGTCTTATTATCTAGAGAAGATGGCTTTGATCCTTGGGGAAGTCTAATGTCTGCCTGGAGATTTCTGCAAGTTCCCTGGAAATCTGGGTTAGGAGGGTGTTGTGGCCACCTTGGCTCCCAGCTCCTCGTCTGCAGGCATAGTTGATAGGCCCAGTAGACGTGGTTCCATGGGTTGGCTCCATTCTGCTCTTGTAACACTGAACCATCTCACAAGAATTCTGCCTCTGTTTTTCCCAGCTACTCCACACTGACCTTTCCAATGTAATAGATCACTCCAAGATCACTGAAGTGACCAGGCCATGGTGGCTCATGCTTGTAATCCTAGCTACTAAACAGGGTGAGATTTGAAGGTCATGGTTCAAAGCCAACCCAGGCAGAAAAATCTGCGAGGCTCTTATCTCCAATTAACCACCAAAAAGCCTGAAGTAGAGCTGTGGCTTGAGAGGCAGAACACTAGTCTTGAGCAAAAAAATCTCAGGGGCAGCATCCAGGCCCTGAATTCATCCAGGCTGCAGAACTGCAATCTTCAATTCTTCAGTGTTTTAATACAGACATGGATCTTAGGAGGTAGATATTATTGTAATAAGGAACTCAAAGAAGTAACTTACTCAAGATCATAAAGTAATAAGCAGATTCAGGATTCAAACCCTGGCTGGGACATTAAATAGGCAGAGTGCATCCTTGAGCCTGTGCATCCCATAATGATCACACATGGTAGATCCCTTCATGACACAGGGCTACAAAAGAGAACTGAGAAATGTCAGAGTGATTTGCTGAGGATGAACATCTGGGAAGTACATGCGTCCCTGGGTTCGTAAGGTGGTCTAATGGCCCCACCACTGCATATTTTTTCATATGTCTTCTACCTCCCATGGGATGGATGTGCATTCCCATGCTTTGGATCTCTGCTACTTTAATTGATCTTTTTTCACATTCATCCTCTCTACAGTGGTGGTATTTTTGTCCTTTTTTTCTTAAGTCCCTATGAGCGCCACTTCACCTCATTCTATTGTTTCAATCTCTTGTTTCAAGGTTCTAAAATATTTTCTCCTATGTACTGGGTGTGTCTCCTTCCGAAGATGTGTGCTTCCTCTGTCCTTTGCATGAAATCCATCTCTTCTTTCCTGCACAGTCTGTTTTGTGCAGCTATAGAAGACTACCTGACCATGGGTAATTAATAAAGAATGGAGATTTATTTCCTAACATTCTGGAGGGTGGGAAGTCCATGATCTGGACTTGTAGCTGTATCATCCTCTGATACACAGGGAAGAGCAACAATGCACAAGTGAGAGAGTGGAGGGAAAGGGCCAATCTCATTCAGGAACCCATAAAGCCACTTCTCCGTCAAAGGCATTAATGCAGTCATGAGGGGAAATCCTTCACAATCTAAATCCTTGCTTTAGTCCTATCCCCCTGAGTACTGGTGCATTGGAACTAACCTTTGATTGACATTTAAGCCATAGGGTGTTCCCTCTTTTCTTCTTCCTTTCTTTTTGTAGTTTGTACAGGTTTGCCACACAAGCACAGCTTCCCTCTGCACTTCCTATATCTGGTCCTGTGTCCTCCCTTCTTAGTATCTGTTTGTGGGTTGAGGGAATCAAAGTTGCTACTTTAGAGCCTCTGTGCTTTACCCTCCAGATTCATGGCACAGAGGGCCTAGAGAAAACTGATTGGGTCCTGAGGAGCCAGTGAGTGAACTGAGTTTCCATGCTCTTCACTTGCAATTTTTAAAAGAAACCTTGAATCTTAGGACCGTTGTAGAGTTATAGAAAAGCTCTGAAAAGAGTACAGAGTTCACACATTCTTCTACACCCAATTTCCCCTGCTTTTAAAATATATGACAGCTTTATGGAGGCATAATTCACACACTATAAAAATCTACCCATTTAAAATGTACAATTCAATGGTTTTTTAATATTTAGAGTGTACAATGCAAGCAGTTCCAAAACTTTCAATCATTCCCAAAAAGAAATCCCCATGCTCATTAGCCATCACTCCTATTTCCCTCTTCTATACCACCACCTGTCCATTTTCTGTCTCTCTAAAGTTTTCGATCTGGTCTCTCCACAATGAGTTCTTTAATGTATGAAATGAAACCTCTTTTCATTTCCAGAGCCTCAACACCACAGTCCTTGTTTTGTTCTACCAAACCAAGGGGACTATGATATGTTCAGCTTTCTCTTTGACCACTTTTGGAGTACAAGGCACACTTTATTCCTACAGCCTTTATCAGTTGTCCTAAAGGGCTAGTTCCATATCTAGGTGATTCTCCTCCAAAGCAAGTGCTTTTTGTGAAGATCCTTCTTGGTTTCCACATAAGTGACTCCTTCTTTGGCACTGTACTTCCTCTGGGTCAATTTAGTATGAGAAAGGAAAGAAAACTAGCAACAAAGATGCCATAATAGTCATTGTTGTTGCAGCTGCTGCTGGTGGTGGCAGCAGTGGTGTGTGTGTGTGTGTGTGTGTGTGTGTGTGTGTGTGTGTGTGTGTGTGTGTGTGTGGTATGTATATGTTGATACAAGAGCTTGGACTCAGGGTCAGGGTGCTATTCCTCAGCTTTTTTCATTCAAGGCTGGCACTCTACCACTTGAGCCACCACTCCACGTTGGGCTTTTTGGTAATTAGAGATAAGAGTCTCATCGACTTTCTTGTCTGGGCTGGGTTTGAACCTCTATCCTCAGATCTTAGCATCTTAAGTAGCTAGGATGACAGGGGTAAGCCACCAGCACTGGACATTAATTGTGTTTTGTCTATGACTTGGTTGTGAAGAAGCAAAAACAACCCAGACTAAAAAACACAAAAGCAGCCCTGCCCTTCCTCAAGTTAGAGGATAGCCAGTGTCAAAGCCAGCTATAAAATGCATAAAACAGATCACAAAGACAATTAACAAAGGGTCACAAAGCAGCTATAAAACACCACAGTCACCACCTCTTTTTGTGACCACTAAACTTTCTTACCAGTAGATCCCAGAGCTATAGCTATTTTAACCTGTTCCCAGGGCCACCAAATTGCTTAGCCACCTTGGTTTGTGGCAGCAACCATCCCCATTTCATCCCCGCCTTGCTTCTGCAGAACTGATCCTGCCTGCCTTGACCCTCCCCAGACCACACCAGTGAGACTAGAAGACTCACACCCTTCTTCCTCTTCTCCACCATATTCCACCACATCGATAAATTCCATCAAACCACAGTCTTGAGCTCTGATATCCCTGGCTTGTTGAACTTGAATAGTTAGCATTAGATGGGCACAGCCTGCTGCTCTGGTTTGTTCATTTGGTGAGGTGTTTGTTTGCTGTCAGAGATCATTAACCAAGGGCAATGATTGGGAAGGTTCTTCCAGCAGAAAGGGGAAGGAAAATAGCAGCAGCTCGGAGTCCTGGTCATCTCCTCTACCTCAGCGTGGAAGTTAACACTGCCAATATTGGATAGTTTTGCTGCCCGTGGGGGAATGTAGATGGCTTTCCAGCCCTGGCCACGGATAGCATCTGAATGATGGGCCAGTGATCTGTGTGAGCATGTTAGGCTCCCTTTCAAACCCTGCCAGTGGAAAACCTCCAACAGGCAGCTGGCCATCCCTCTAGCTAGTTGTCTGTCCCTGGGTAAGCTCTCTCTCTTCTGGGGGCTCAGTCTACTGCTCAGTTCAGTGGCAATGTTCTCTTTTTCTTTCCCTCTCTCCCTCCTCATTCTCCCCCTTCTTCCTCCTTCTTTCCCCCTTTCTTTCCTTCCTCCATTCCTCCCTTCCTCTCTCTTCCTTTGTAAAATTTTCAGTTCTAGGGACTGAACCTAGGTCCGCATGCTTGCAAGGTAAGTGTTCTACCACTGAGCTGCACTCCCAGATCTTAGGCCACGTCTTAGTAACCTGTGATTCTAAGTTCAAACTATAGAATCATGTGGAGTTCCAGTAATGAAGTCACTCAGTGCACATTACCCTTTCCATCCTCATGCCAGTGAGGTGGTATTTTATGATCATGCCCATTTGGAGCAGAGAGAGATCAAGTGACCCCAGCTAATAATAAATACAGCACACCACTTGCCCAAGTCTCACTGAGAGATCAAAATGAACCTGAGGCACAGAGGGACATGTGACTCCCCTCAGATGCATTGGTAAAACCCAGGTCTCTTGGCTTCCTAGCTCCTCTCTTTCCAGAGCTGTGAGCAGCAGCATTTCCTACTGGTCCAGGCAGAGCCAGGGAGGACTCTCCACACCCTGGCCTATTATTTCACCTGGAATTGCTCACCTTGGACTTGAAAGTCAAGGAAGAGAGGTTGA